CCCAACACTCTGGAGGCAGAGGCAGGCAGAACTCTGTGAGTTCAACACCAGTCAGAACTAAAATCAAAAGAGAGAACCGGAAGCTTAGACAAACCCAAAAAGTCATGCCCAAAAAGTAAACCACAAAGACACATAAAGCTCAAAAATAAAAGAAGCAGAACTAAACTTGAAGGCCCGAGTATCACACAAGAGTCAGAAACTACAAAAGAAATTCACATGTCAAAATCACAGAGAAAAAATAATAACATGAAAAACCAAAATAACATATCCCTACCAAATACCAGTAATCCTCTAGAGGAGCACAATGAGAATCCTCTAGAGACAATGCAGGACATGGATCTCAAAAGAACAATGATGAATATGATAAAAGAATTCAGTGAATTTAAAGAACACACAAACAAGGTAATCAAAGAGCTGAAGGAAGATAGGGATAAACTTCTGAATAAATTCAGAAAAGAGTTAGAAATATTGAAGAATACTCAGGCTGAAATGAAGAAGGAAGTGAAACACTCAGTAAGCCAATTAGAAATAACAGGAGAAAGCCTCACCATAGGATGAATGAAATGGAAAACAAAATATCAAAGCTGGAAGATAAAGTGGACTAACTAGACCACTTAAGCAAAAATTATGAAAAATTTAAAAAAGCACAAGAATGGAATATGCAGGAATTGTGTGACACTATAAAAAAACCAAACTTATGAATCATAGGCATACAGGAAGGAGAAGAATCCCAAGATAATGGCATGGAACAGATCTTCAACAGAATCGTGGAAGAAAATTTCCCAAAATTAAAGAAAGACATGCCCATACAAATACAAGAAGTATATAGATCATCAAACAGACAGGACCAGAAAAGAAACTCTCCATGGCACTTCATAGTAAAAACACTAAATGTACAGAACAAAGAGAAAATACTGAAAGCTGCAAAAGAGAAACAAGTCACATATAAAGGAAAACCCATTAGGATTACAGCTGACTTTTCAGTGCAAACTATGAAAGCCAGAAGAGCCTGGACCAAAGTATTCCCAGTTTTAAATGACCACAGATGCCAACCCAAATTACTATACCCAGCCAAAATGTCTATTATAGTCAAAGGGGAAAGAAAAATCTTCCATGATATAAATAGGCTGAAGGAATTCATGTCCATAAAACCAGCCCTTCAGAGAGTTCTGGAAGCAATACAAAGAGCTGAAGAAAGGAATGACTATACCCAAAGGATTGTGGAAAGAAATTCAATGAAGGTATAACTGTGGAAAAGTACAGCTATATCAAGAATGTAAGCAGAAATAAAAATGAAAGGATGAAATACACATCTCTCATTAATAACTTTAAATATTATTGGACTGAACTCCCCAGTCAAAAGACACAGACTGGGTGAATGAATTAAGAAACAAAACCCATTGTTTTGTTGTCTGCAAGAAACTCATCTCACTTTCAAGGACAGGCACTATCTTAAGGTGAAAGGATGGAAAAAAAATATACCAAGCGAATGGAACAAAGAAAAAAGTAGGCATTGCAATTCTAATATCTGACAAAAATAGACTTTAAACTAAAACTAATCAGAAAGGATAAAGAGGGCCACTTCATTCTGATCAAAGGAACAATAAACCAAGAAGATATTACAATCATGAACATATATTCACCAAACTCTGGTACACCCAACTTCATAAAAACAATACTACAGGCCTTTAAGACCCAGATTAACCCCAACTCATTAATAGTTGGGGACTTCGAGACCCCACTGTCTCCATCACATAGGTCAATAGGGCAGAGAGTTAACAGAGAGACGTCTGAATTAATACCATATATCAAATGGACCTAACAGACATCTACTGAGTAGTCCACCCAAGCACCAAAGGACATACTTTCTACTCAGCATCCCATGGAACCTTTTCCAAAATCAACCATGTGCTGGGGCACAAAACAAACCTCAACAAATACAAAAAGATTGAAATAATTCCACTCATTCTATCAGACCAAAATGCAATAAAGCTTACAATCAAGACCAGATACAATTAAAAAAGGAAGGCTTGAGTTTCATATCAGACAGACAAGCAACAAAAGAAATCCACATGCCCAGACCACAATGAAAAAATACAAATAATATGAAAAACCAAAACAATATGTTCCCCACCAATCCCCATCGGTTCTATAGAAGCATTCTACATGAGAACTACTTAGAGGAACCCCATGATACAGAATGAACACAAATAAATTACTTAACATTGCAACTCAACACATATGAAAAGCAACATCAAACAAAACCCAAACCCAGCAGACAAGAAGAAATAACAAAAATCAGGGCAGAAATTAATGAAATTGAAACATAGAAAACAATACAAAGAATCAACAAATCAAAGAGCTGGTTCTTTGAAAAGATAAACAAGAGTGACAGACCACTAGCCCAGTTAACCAAAAGAAAGTAAGATAAATATATAAAAATGTCAATTTTTAAATTATTTTAATAAATTTTGTTATGTGTTTCAGTGTATTACCTGCATGTATGTAAGTGCAGCCATATCATTATCTTGCAATGCCTGTGATGGTCAGAAGAGGGTGTCAGATCCCTTGGAACTGGAGTTAGTTGTAAGTCGCCATGTGGGTGCTTACACATGGGTCCTCTGCAAGAACAGCCAGTGCTTTTAAACACTGCACCATCTCTCCAGCCCTTAATTATTTAACTAATTTATTTCAATTTTTTATATGAGTGCTTTGTCTACATGTATGTAAGTCACTCATGGCATGCAATGCCTACAGAGGCCAGAAAAGGGTGTTAGATCCACTGGAACTAGAGTTATAGACAGTTGTTAACAATTATGTGGGTGGTAGGAAAATGGATCGTTTCATGTAACATGATCCACGAAGCATGCTTGTTATATGACTGAAGGAACTCTGAGGATTCTACTTTTCCTCGTGACTTAAATAGGTAATTAATTTGCAGCCACAGGAGTAGATGAAAATTTCAGTATCTATAGCTAAGGGCACTTTAAAAGTTGTCATTAGGGGCACGAAGATGATTCATTACATAAAAAACACTTGCCCCCAAGCCTGAAGACTTGAATTCAATCTCTAAGATCAACATGGTGGAAGGAGAGAATCAACTCCCACAAGTTGTCCTCTGTCTCCCACGTGGGCAACATTGCAGCATGCACACACACACACAAACACACACACATAATAAGAAAGGAAGAAAGAAAAAGAAAAAGAAAGGAAGGAAGGAAGGAAGGAAGGAAGGAAGGAAGGAAGGAAGGAAGGAAAGAAGGAAAGAAATGTAATTTTAAAATCGAAAAAGTTGTCCTTAATCTAATCATTTATATTGTTGCTTTAGTATTGAAGTTAAATAGGTGATAGCTGGTTCTAAATGAGGTAGGTAGTCAGAGAAAAAGGCTGGGGTCAGATACAGCTGGGTTCCAATGTCTTTCACTTTCATCCAAGATGGCCCACTTCTGGTTCTTGTACAAAATTGGCCCTTTTGGTGCCCCCTCTGGCAGCAATTTCAAACTTCCCACCCTTGCATTACCCAATTAGATTCCCACTTTTATATTAGTAAACCAATCAGCAGCATGCATCCTGCCCTGTCCAATCCAAAGTGGGAGAGGATCCCAACCCTAGCTTATCAAATAGAAAAGCCCAGGGTCTCCAAGACGGTAGACTGTACTACTGAACTCTTAACAGGCTACAAAGATAATGTTATTCTATCGAGATATTTAATAGCCATATTTCATTTTGTCTCAACATTCAAAACCTTGCGTGGAAACACTGCCAAGCGGCACATTTTCCCTCCATTTCGGTGTCTTAGACGAAAAACAAAAGTACTTCCCTGGATTGAAAAAACATGTGGAGAGATGGCTCAGTGATAAAAGGTATTTGCTGCCAAGCCCGAGGACCAGAGTTCAATCTCTGCCCCCACATGATGGAAAGAGAGAAGTGAGTCCCCAAGTTGTCCTCTGATACACACACACACACACACACACACACACAAATAATAAATATAATAAAAGTATCGGTACAAAGTATTTGAAAGCTTGTTTTTTGAAATCAGATGCGTTGTTGGAAATGCTACCTACACATGTAAATAAAACTCTATTTTGGGAATTAAAAAAAAAAATGTCCATATACTAAAGCGCTAAGTGACTGCACTGCAGAGTCGATATGGCTTGGCAGCAGGTTCATCCCCCTGAGTCTTAAATAGGGAGGTGACCATCGGCCTCCGTGGAGAGGTCGCTCCCGGACTGCAGAACCCCAGGCAGAAGTCTAGGGGCTCGGAGGCCCCTCCATGTCCGGGTTTTCCTGACAACCATCTTCGCCACCTGCCTGGGCAGAGGACGCAACCAGTTCAGGCTGGATTCGCCCTCGATAATTACTGTGTTGCTGTTTCCTGTTATTGTTTGACAACTCACTGACTGTTCTGGGCACTGAGGAATCCTGGGCTCCATTTCCAGGCGCAGGAAGCTTCTGGAAGCCGGGACCCAGCCAAGGCCCCCGCGGCGAGGCAGGATGGTGGCCACCACCACCTGAGGACTGGCCTCAGGGGGAGCAGGGCCGGATGCGTCTGCGGGTCCCTGTGAGGAGCATGTGAGAGCATGTGCGGTCTGTGAGGGCGTGTGCGAGTCTGTGAGGGCGTGTGCGGGTCTGTGAGGGCGTGCGAGGGTCTGTGAGGGCGTGCGAGGGTCTGTGAGGGCGTGTGCGAGGGTCTGTGAGGAGGGTGTGCGGGTGTGTGAGGAGCGTGTGCGGGTGTGTGAGGAGCGTGTGCGGGTCTGGTGAGGGCGTGTGCGGGTCTGTGAGGAGCGTGTGCGGGTCTGTGAGGAGCGTGTGCGGGTCTGTGAGGAGCGTGTGAAGGCGTGTGCGGGTCTGTGAGGGCGTGTGCGGGTCTGTGAGGACGTGTGCGGTCTGTGAGGACCCTGGGGGCGGTGTGGGGCGAGTGCAGAGCCCTGGGTCCCCGGCCCGGCAGGGGGCGGTCGCGCCCACAGCAGAGGCTCCGGAAGCGGCCTGGGGCTCACCTCGAGGTAGTACAGGTCCACCGTGGTGATCTGCGAGTCCAGGAAGTCCTCGTAAGTGTTGAACTGCGTGACGATGTTATCCACGGCCGTCAGCCCCTTGTCCTGGTCCATGGCCGCCGCTGGCAACGCGTCCCCAGCGACGGAAGCTGCGCGCTGGGCAGACGCTGCACCCCGGCTCCGGCAGTTGGGGCGGGGTTGGTCCCAGAGACGCTTCCGCTCACTCCCGGGACCTCGGCTCTAATTACTCCCGCACCTCAACCTGGAACCGGAGAAGGAGTTCACACCTGGGAAAGATATGCAAGCCCCCACTCCCCTGGTTTCTTGGGGGTCGTTAATTTTATTTTTTTTTAAATACCATACATGAACATTGTATTGCATCATTTCTACCCCTCCCAGTCCTCTTTCCAGCTCCCATGTCCTCCTCAGTCCCTCTCAATTTCTTGTCCTCTTTTTTATTATTGTTGCATTTATATGCTTATGCATATATATGTATAATATGTAATATATATTAAGTATATATGATGCACCGTGTCCAATTTGTGGTTCTCGCATGCACCTGTGTTTAGGGCTGATTACTTGGGATGGGATAGCGTACCAGGCTTTTGCATGCACATGTTTGGTGCACATACATATGTGCATACAAGCAAAACACTCATACACGTAGGATAAAAAATAACATGTTTTAGGGATGAAATATCTGTGAACAATTAGAAAGTAAAGATTTTTGTAAATATATTTGTTTTCCTTTAAGAGAAATTATTTCCTCTATGAAGTACGGGTGTAAATTGATCCCACAAGAAGCTGAACAAACCGGAACTCATTTTAGGATTTTAGTGTTTTTAAATCCTTGAGAATTAATGTGTAATACAGTGCTATGCCTATCCTGGTTGCTTTCTATGCGTTTAACAAACTAATTTAAAATATTTTCAGAAATGTGCTAATTTTTTTTCAAGATTTAAAAAGAATTTAAGTATATGACTATTTTGCCTGAATGTATGTAAGCACACCACGTACCCCAGGCGCCCACAGAAGCTGGAAGAGGGACTCTTGATCCATGTGCATGCTGAGAACTGAACCCCCAGTTCATCATAAGAGCAGTAAGTGCTGTTACCCGCGTAGCCATCTCTCCAGCCTGAGATGTGCTGAATTTTTTTATGAAAACAGGTGGTAACATATTTCACTTTTGGCTAGCCTACAACATTTTTTTTCTAATTTAATTCTTTTTTATTAAAAATTTTATAATTGAATTTTTTGTGTATTTCATACAGAACAGCTCAAACAGTCTTAATCATCTTTATACCCCTGTCCCATCTGGCACCCTCCCATAGCCACCCACCCTCCCACTGGAGCCCATACACTCAGTTATCCCTGTTAAGGCCCACTGGGTTTCCCAGTGTCCCCAACCATTCCCCATGCAAGTCTGTCCACTAAGTCTAGTCAGCCTATCTAGAGGCCCTTGTTTTAGGAAGATGAGCTCTTCTTCATCTAACAGCAATCAGTTGCCAACATTTCTTCAGAAAAGATTGAGGTCTGTTGCTCATTTTCCCAGTTCTCTATGCCGGGTTATTGTCTGCCTAAATTTACATGAGACCACACAATTTTTAAAATTCATCTAAACAATCAGAAACCATGGGTATGCAAAATTTTGGTGTATAAAGTCATCTCTATGATATTACTAACTTATTTAATGACTATATTTTGAAATGCTTTAAAAGTCATTTGAGGCCTTATTTTTAAATGCAGTTTAATCATTAAATTTAAAAACAGAAAACCACAGCACATGTAATAATAATAGTAGCAACATTTATGAGTGCTTTCCCTGCATGTTAAGACTGCTTAAGACCCAAAATTGTTCATCAGATAATATCTTTATTAAAATAGATAGAATCCTGCTGGGCGTGGTGGCGCACGCCTTTAATCCCAGCACTCAGGAGGCAGAGGCAGGTGGATCTCAGTGAGTTCAATGCCAGCCTGGTTCACATAGTGAGTTCCAGGACAGGTTGTCCTCTGACCTCCACATATGTGTTGAGACATGCAAGCACACACATGCATAATAAATAAATAAATAAAAATAAATAAATACAGAATCCAACAACTTGACACTGCCTAATTACCCCAAAAGCTATGGAAATAATAATCTTTAAAAAAAAAATGGAGACAAAATCCACGTGACTTTAAAACATTCTAATTGGTAAGGGAGTTAGCCTTTGTGTTCTATGAGGCCTTCCTGAAAGAGGCATTATTCAGTGTACTGAGTACAAGAGAAAGTTCAGAAAAGTTTCAGCCACTTATGTGCAAAGAATATGAATGCTTGCTTTAGTGTAATAATATTTAATAGAACCCTAGTACATGCCAGCTTCATTCTACATACAGTGCATACCTTATCTCATTTAATTCTGACAGCAAAGAAACTCACTAGGAAAGTAGCATGGTATTATCTTCAATATGGAGAAAGAATGAATTTAAATGACTTGGCTCAAATTCCAGGTGAAGAAAATAGCAATGGCCCTTTTCTCACACAAAGAGAAAGCAGAGAGGTTTTAAAGAGTCATATAAAATTAAATACAAAAGTTGCTTATAATCAAAGAAATGTTGGGACTGGAGAGATGACTCAGCAGTTAAGAGCACTGACTGCTCTTGCAGAGGATGTTGGTTCAGTTCCCAGAACCCTAACAACCATTTGTAATTCCAGTTCCTCCAGTTCCAGGGAATCCAGTGCCTTCTTTTGTCCTCTGTGGTCATTGCATGAGACAGGTGCACTTACACATATTTGAGCAATACACTCATAAAATAAAAATAAATAAAATATTTTATAAAATAAATAAATAATAATAAAAATAAAAGAAATGTCAATTTGTGATACCAAAAGGGGATTGAAACAAATATAAGGAGAAAAAAGGATAGCATGTTCCATGATGTGATGGCAAGAAATACCAAATTCTGTATAGGATGAAGCAACAGCTTAACAGTTGTGAGGGGTGCAGTAAGGACTGTAGGGGAAGGAAGCTGGACTACACAGAGAAGAAAATTGGGGGAAAATTGAATGCTAGGTTGAAGTGTTTATGAAAAAGAACACCCATGTCCTTGACAAGAGAGACTCTAATAAGGATGGCCTCAGGCATGGAATATGTCTGCTGCATACTGCTCAAGTCTTCTGAGCACTTATGTGCACTACATTCATTTTGACATCCTCCCACATCAACATTTTATCACTTTCAAGAAAGAATAAGTACCTAGGGAATGTTCATGAAACTATGGCAGTCTGATTGCAAGGACCATTCTCTGTGTTGCTAGAATGCAAGCTCTTCCTTGTCTACATACCGTTCTGATATGATTCAGCACAGTTGTGCATTTTTTGGCAGCTCTTTTGTGAAATGATTCCCCAAATCATCTAAACTGAAACAGTCATGAAAGTATTTTCAGTTAACAAGTCTAATAATGCCTTTCTACTCTAAATACTGATAGTGGTTTTCAACAATTAACTTCTCTAGTAGTAGTGCAAAAAATAAACTTAGCCTGTTCTATACAGAAAGGCTAACCTTACTGCAAACCTAACCTAAACCTGGTATTTTTCTAAGTTTTCAATTTAAATTCAAAAACACTTTCAGAGCTGTGCCTGAGAAATCACATGAAACAACGGCAACCACAAAATTAATGAGCTTCAGCAAGTCTCTGACCTGTTGTCAGGTTTTTGTTATGGTCAAGAAATAATTTATTTTGTATAACATGCCTTCCTACTTCAAGTTTGGGACTTTTAAGTATTGAATCCTGAAATTTAGTACCAATCCCAGAAAGTCCATTCATTGCCAAAAGACAAGCAAGGATTATATATATTCACAACAAAATTCCAAGATGTAAGAGAGAGGAAACATATGTAAGAGTAACAAAATACATGCCATATTTAGCTTAATTACTGAGTAAAGAAAGACATAATATAAAAATAGAAGACATAGGCAAAAGCAAGCATAAGCATTTCTTTGACATAAGCAGGCTTTATACTTTACTCACTAAAGAAAGATGATTTCAAATTAAGCTGCTTTTTTTTTCTATTCCCAAATGCTTAGCAATATATCATGCAAGCTCGGGAAGAAACAGTTTGGTATGTTGACATGGCAGTAAGCAGAATGCCTCCTTATTAACGTTAATAAATGCTAAACACTCTGAGTAAGAACTTGAGGTCCCATTATGATGAACTTAATACATTACCATATCATAGGAAAGAAAAACATATGCTCACTCTAATGATAAGAGATTTGTGTCTGCTGTTGCCCAACTGCTTATTAAGTGTCTGTGATTGCAGATGAGAGTTATTGCTTAATCATGAGGCAAGGAGAGGTTTTTGGACTTGGCAATAATGATGACACTGAATTTATTTAAGCTATTTCTTCTGATGAGATCACTAGACTTCTACATAGTCTCAGTTATCACAGTGCATTAGAGTTCTGGTTCCACTTCTTCTCAGTCATGGAGACATAGTGTTCATGAATCATAATTCATGAATTTTGCCCCACTTCAATATCTGGCAACATGAATTAGTTTTGAAGAAAAACAATATAAGATCGGAGTGAAATTGACCAATTATCAATGGCTGATAAAGAGTAAAACCTACTATACTGTGTGCTAGTTGATGGGTCTGACCACGACACTCAGCTCCAACTGAGACGTCGGGCTTCCAGTGGCCCTGTGAGATATTACCAACAATCTTGCTAAAAATCCTCTTATCCTCTTTGCGCACTTAGAAATCAAGCTACACAGCACTCACACTGGGAGTCTGAACACTCAGAAAACATCATTTAATTTTATTTTGTAAATTGCTTTTATATTTTCTCTATCTTCCTGTCTCAAAGCAGATAAACTTAACTCCTACTCTTATAGAAAGTAGGGTACCAGATTGGATTTCCTGCATCCCATCATGCAGGTGCACTCACATTCATACCAGTCTTTGCTTCTTCCCTGTGCTTCAACTTCAGAGGAAGAAATTTACCACTTTCTATACCTTCACTCTGCGCTGATCTCTCTCTTAGGATTCTTAACTTCATTGATCTTCTCTCATATTGTTAATTCATCTCCTCTCTCCCTCTTTCTCTCCCTGAGCACTCCCTGCCCCCCCCACCCTCCCCTCAGAATGTCATGTTGTCACTGCTTCCTTTTCGTCAAGGTTCTCTCCTATGACTTCCATCATCTTATTGTTCCCTGAAAGTGGTTGGTTTTCCATTAGCTATTTCTTCTCAATTTCCTTTGATAG